CAATATGCAGGATTAATTAAAACTGGTTAAAAATTCGATCTTGTGTAATTCTCATAGAATGATTTACTGGCAAATAGTGTAGCTGGAAGGAGTGTTTCAAGAACAGTATTTTTTTAAATAGGTTCATATTCTAACTATGGACTCGTTAAAATCATTGTTTGTCAAAAGATCTTCTTCACAGTTCTAATCTAAAAGAAATTATACAGGAACATAGGTACTGTATATAAATTACTTATATAAAACTAGCGGCTCATCCTACGAAAACAAAACCAAACCTATCCTACGGGAACGGTATATTTTTCCGGGATAAAAAGTACCCTATTTGTTATTCCAAGCTATAGTCTATCTCTGTGCCAAATTTCATTCAGATCCGTTCAGCCGTTCTGGCGTGAAAGAGTAACAAACATAGATACTCACAAACTTTCACATTTTGTAATATTAATACAGATTAAAAAATTTGAATGTTTACATAATATTAAAATAATTTATACTCGTAGAATTCAAACTGTGCTTTCTTCTAAATAATATAATAAAAAGTGCCTTTATTATATATTTTTTTTAAAATGCCTTTTAGCTTCCGTTTAAGGAAACGTCCTTTATTTTTTTATATATAGCAATAAAAGCGTTTTAAGTTCAGTCTCTCTGTTAAGTTTACTTTAAGAAAGTTAGGTTAAGTTTAGAAACTTTCCTAGTAAAAATCTTAGTTTGTCGACAAAGTCCCTAATATTGGTCGTAGGAAGTGTTCTATTCTACGTTCATTGATAGTGACTTTATCGACAAACTAAGATTTTAGATTCGCCTACTTTTTGCTGTAACGTATGTATGCATATAATATAATCTTGCACGGCATTTAAATGGACGACCTCTAACTTAGTAAATACTTGCATTACTGTAAATAAATATGTTGGGACATTAACACACAGCGGCAGCGCCATCTAGTTCCATGGTAAGCTTAGGCTTGTGTTATGGATACCAGATAGTTGATACACTACTTAACACCTCCAGGTAAATTTCTAAGAAATTAATGAAATTTCTAAGAAATCTATTGTTAACTGACACGCCGGCGTGTCCGCGGTCGTTGAGGGATTAATACAATAAATATCATAGATATAAACACCCATGACTGGAGTATAAACATTTGTGCTCATCACATAAATGAATGCCCCCAGCGGGACTCTAACTCGCGACCGCTGGCACAGCAAGTACGGTCACTATAAACTGAGCCAAACGTATCGTCAAAACATTACCGCAAGTCAATATATATATATTTATTAAACGATACTATAATCAAGTTGCTTTAGGATTATGTTTGGAAATCCTGAACAGAATATGATTCTCGATTATTATAATAATATAATTATATTTATATTTTTATATAATATCAAAACGACGAAATATTAAAAAAATATTATATGCATTGCAAGTCCCACACCTCTTTCTTTTACTCGATAACACCTGGCGTACGAAGGTTATTTTAAAATTTACTTGTTTTAGCCGTTTTAGCGCAAAGGAGTATTAAACAAACATACAAACTAGTACATTTAAAATTGTAGTCCGATTATTACAAACTAAGAAAGGATTTGAAATATTTATGTTTAGATAATCTATACAAGGAAAAACATCTGAGATAAAAACATATAAAATCTAAAAAGAATGAGGTGGATATTGTTCAAACAAGTTTCCAAAAATTACCTTTTTGTATTTAATTATATTAGAAGTATAGATAACATGTCTCACAGATGCTACCGTGTTGTAAATTCATTTTTCAAAGAGAAAAAAACATTATCGACCTTGACGCCATCTTCATTATAAATTGAATTTTAATGATGGACATTCAGTAAAAAAATATAAATGTGAATGGTCTTAAATGTCGTAGGTTCTGAAGATCAAATAAAAAGTTTTTAAGTTTAAATTAAAAAATAATCTTTTTTTTATTATTATAATTAAAAGTATAATATGTTATTAAGTAATTCTAATATTATATTTTATAATACATAATTTTATACTAAATATATAATTCGTATCATAGTTTCATTTTCAAAACAATACTGTTCAAGTTACATTAATACACCTTAGTCAAATTTATGCCTTTATACTTTTTCCTTTTTTTATCTTTGGGAAATGCATTTGCGCATAACACCTGCATACATACAGGTGACTATGTACAGCTCATCATTGTAGTAGAAATAGTTGGCCAATGGAGTCAAGATACTAACAAATTCTTAAAAAACTTAAAGAACACCTCGTCTTATCACCTCTACTGGTGACAAGAGAGCTGACTGATTTTTCGCCCAAAGAATCGGCATTACCATTCAGCGGGGGAATGCGGCTAGCATTCTTGCCACAATTCCACGCGGACATAACATATACAGGAATTACTAAGTGTACATTTGTTTTGTATCTAAATAATTAAGCATGGTATTTGTAATTTAACTGTTTCTTGTAAATAACATTTTAAGTCATTGTAAATTCTCCATCTCATTCGAAACTCTCAAATCACAGACGGACACTTTTATTTGATTTATATATTTATTTTCAAACCTATATAAGACACAATGTAAAATATCCACGCAACCCTAAAATATCTCATTCAATTTTCCCATCCCAGGTAGATTCCATTAAGCCATATTAAAATCGTATTATGTATCGTGCGTAAAAATTATACCATATAGGATGCGGTTTAATCAGACTTAATAGATTACTGTGATGAATGAATTTCGTAAAAAATATCCCATGTGTTTGGTAAAAAAGACCTTTATGTCATAATGTATTAAAATAAAATGAATCTAAATTATTCGAATAAGCTTTTATAAGATTAGTGCTTATAATATTGTATTCAGGCCTTTATAATGTCCCACTGCTGGGCATGGGCCTATCTTCAATACGAGTGGGATGAGACCATAGTCCACCACTCTGGCCAAGTGCGGGTTGGTGGACTTCACATGTCTTTCGAAAACTTGCTAGTTCTTTCAGACATGCAGATTTCCTCAAGATGCTTTCTTCTCCTATTATTTACTTATTATTATTAGGTGCATAATGTGTTCTGTGTATGATCTATGGGTTCTGATGTAGGGCCACATTGAAGGTGCCAAGTGTATGATTTTAAATAACAATAAACGAGGTCACGACCAATCTCACTAACATAAGCCATGTGCACAAGTGATATTATAGTGCACATGTGTCTATTCCTGTCATACTAAAATCCTTTAGGACGAGGACCTACGGTTTTACGTGTTTTTCAAGACATAGGAGTGATACACCGCCAAATTCTCAACTCCGGGCCGTTACTGACGATTTCTTGACAGGAAAACTCAATAATTAATCTTAGCCTGACCCTGGACTCAAACGCAGAACCTCCGGAGTAGCTGTACATACTAGCCACTAGACCTCCGTGCCATATTAAATTTTAATAATAATATAGAAATGATGATGACCCATTTATTATAAACATTGTTATTCAAAATGCAAGCTATTAATAACGCTTGTCGACAATTAAATTAAAAATATGTATTCGCATGATAATATATTCAGAGTTAGAGAAGTCAATTCTATCAAAATTCCATAAGAACCGATCTTAATATTTATGTATATAATTATATTTGTAGATATACGTATGTATATTAAAAAAAATGTGGAGTATGATGTTCATTAAAATAGATTTAAGGGATAGATTTCAATTTTATTTTTTCCACCCGCGTTGAGAGGACCAAAAACCAAATTCTTAGGTTTTAAATATTAGTATACTCTTACATTGCAGTTTTTGTATTTTTTCTCAGAAATAAGATATTTTCCCGCAGTAAAAAGTATCCTTTAAGTTGACCCGGATAACCAGCTACCACTATACCAAATTTCATCAAAATCCCTCTAGTGGTTTTTCTGTGATGCGGTAACAGACAGACAGACAAAAATTCTAAAAACTGTAGATTCGGCCTCTGTATCGATAATAATGTTTATTTCAATAAGATTTTGCAAAAAAATATTTAATGTACAGATTCGGCTTAGTTACAATTTTATTATATGTATAGATTTCGATACACACAACGACGAAAGTTGTATTATTGCTGTTGACTGCAGGTTCACTCTTGTAAATGGATGACTATAAAGCATTCGTTGTAAATGTTCATCAATTTTTATGGCGATTGGATGAACGGTGTTGAAGTTGATGCACTGCATTGACTTCTAGTGACAAGTTTCATTGAAATTGAAAATGTAAAAACGTTTATGCCTCGTCTTGTCTTTTGTCGTCTTTACGCAACCAAACAAATATCTGTGTTAAAATTCCAAAGCTATTGGTTAGTTTTCAGAGATTTGTTATTGTACACATTTTTTGTATGAATTTTATAATCCCTTGCAAAAGTCGGTTTGCCTGTCCATCCATACATTAAATTTAGTTTCTCAAAAATAAATTTTTTTACTTACTGTTTCCACACATGAACAAAACACATATCAGGGTAGCACCTAAATAACAACACAGAAAAACTATTAAAATATATAAAGAATTTGATCACATGAATCCAATTACGATTCTAAATATATATAGCTTAACGAGTAAAGTCTATTTTGTTAACTCAACGCTAAATTCAAACCTTATTAATTAAAACATTAATTAAAATTGACATATAAACACTTCAAAGCCTTCCATGTTTCCAAAACTTCTAGTTAAATCAAACAACATGAACCATTTATCTATTTTATTGAAGAGTAAATTACTATGAACGGATATAACTCATATGTATCATGAATTTTCTGGTACTATAACTATATACTCACTAGCGATTTACTCTTGCTTTACTCGGCTTTATCCCAAGGTGGCTTTGATAAAAGTAATTTATATGATACTTCCGGTCACAGTCTATTTCTATATCAAAATTCATCCAAATCGGTCCAGCCTTTTCTGCGTGAAGGATTAACAAACATACACACGTATTTAACAGAAGTTCGATGTATAAATTATACAGAAGTTCGATGTATAAATTATTCACATAGCACTTTGTTCGCAGTACGACCATTATGGGTTCGTCTATTAGGCGGTGCTAGACCATTAGTAGCAGGACGCAGCGCAGAACTGGCCTGTGCAGCAGCGGGGGCGCGACCCAAACCAAACATCTCATGGTGGAAAGGAGGCACTCGACTTACTACCGTTAAAGAATATGTAAGTATATAAGAAATTCTTAATTTTTTTCATCACAAAAATATAACAACATTTCGAGAATGTAGCTCAAATAAGGGCTTATCTGGAGTTTTTCAATCGTTTCGCAAAATAGTTCAAATTGATTAATAGTCGTATTCAATTTAAAATAATTTAGCATGTAATTTTCATTAATAAGCATAAGCTATGGTAATATTAACTATTTTTCACTTGTTTTTTTTTATATAATATACTATAAAAAGTGGTAGACGTAAATGGCAGTTCGTTCGATATTATGTAGTTTATGTGGTAACATACAGACAGATTTTTTTACATTTATGTAATTATGGGTTTACAAGTGAACTATATGAATAAATGTATATGGTTATATTAAAATCATTTTTGAATTAGGCCACTTTTACACTAAAATATTAATAAATATTCGTTTTAATTAACTATTTTGTAATAATTTTATTCTTATACCATCTAGACGTCTGCTGACGGCAATGTGACGCGCAGTACATTGACATTCGTGCCAGTTATCGAAGATGCCGGCAGAGTACTTTCTTGCAGAGCTTCTCAACCTTCTTTACCCCACTCTACTCATGAAGATGGGTTTAAATTAGAGATACAACGTAAGTTTGATATTTTTTTATGTAATATTTCTTAGAATTGGAGATGGGACTATTTTTTTAAAGCAGTTCAAATATATTTTTCTTAAGTAAAAACTTCGTATCTATATTGAAAATTTTTTGACACAATAGGTTATTCAAACCTGCGTATTACAAATTCCTCGCGCAAAGGTAACGAGTGTAGTGATGATAGCGTAAAGATAATTATTTGCTTAATTAATTTCCATATAAATGGACTGGTTTGAAAATCTATTTTTGAACGGTTTAAACTCAGGTTTAAACTCAGATATGGCGAATCTAAGTGTTAATATCGTAATCAACTGAAAAACTGCTGACATGATTGCGTTACAACTTCATAAATAAGGTAAAACTCTTTTAAGCTAGCCCGTTTCAAGTAGAACATAAAAAGTTAAAAAAAAGTTAATTAAATTCTATAATTTTTATAGCTATACTTGAGAAATGTCAAATTTTTGACATCTCTTTCAAAAATGGAATTCAGTTTGATATCAATAAAAAACAAAAGCCATTCTAAAAAGCTTTCAAAAAGCTTACAATTTCGATGAGCATGTATTGACTAAAAAGACGACAATCTTGATTAGTCCAGGCATTTTGGAATTTACCTGGAGAGAGAATTGAAAAGATTTTTTCCGGCTTTATTGTTACGTTTCCAGACAAAAGACGTCGACAAAATTGCAACGGGTTTTTTCAAATCTTTTGCTACTGATACAAAAAATTATTGTCTTTAGATATTTTATTGTTATTTAAAATCTTAAAATAATAATTAAACAAATATAATCGAGAATTATTTTTATGACAATCATAGTAAAATGAATTAACCTTACAAAAATAGATACTCCGGAAGGAAACTGTTAAGAGTAATGCTCTTGCTTGAAAACCAAGTAAATTTCCAACATGCTTACCACTTGTTAGTACAGCAACTAAAAGTTCTTATGAAGCACATCTAATGAAAATAAAGTACTATTCATACTATGACCTAATCTCGTTTTAAAGACCAGTGCTCAACAGTGGAACGGTATAAAAGGCTTTATATTATTATAAGAAAACAAAGCGAAGAAGAACTAATGTATCTATTTTGGATGTGTATGCCACGAAGTTGTCTTGATACATATACAAATATTAAAATGAGATAGCTATCAGCTGACGTATCATAGACCGTAGCTTTATCTCGCTCACACCATCGGCCCCTTATTTTATTGCTGATTTGTTACGTATGCTTAGTTTATAAGTAAGTTAATGTAAAAACTGATTTCAATTATTAGATAAAAGTTATTCCTAGAATAAGATACTAATAATTTATAATTTAAGAGGTAGATAATACTTACCTAATTATTGGAAAACTATACTCTCAAGACAAGTTTAATTATAATTATTAAGATATAAGAATCAGATTAAAGCAAATTGTTTCTTACTAGAATTAGAAATTTGTATGGAACTTATGTCAAACGTCTATTTCGCTATGAGAATTCGCCGTTAATATGTAAACTGGTTAACTAACTAACTCAATCTCTGTATAGATTTACCAGTAGTCAAGTTAGAGCTTGGTGCCAATTTGGATGCCGCCAGAGTTGTTGAAGGATCTGACGTATACTTGGACTGTATGGTGCGCGCCAATCCTTGGCATACTCATGTGTATTTCACACATAATGTAAGTATTATATTTCACTTGAATATTAAATATTATTAATTGAGTTGATATTTTAAGCCGAAAACTTAGTGTAAATGAAGTAAAAAAATAATAATTTTGGATTATGTAGTGTTTTGACGACACGTTTGACTCAGTTTGTAGTAACTCTACTTGCTGTGCCAGCATACATGGGTTCGGGTCCCGCTGGGGGCATTCACTTGGGGGATGAGCACGAATATTTGTACTCAAGTCATGGGTGTTTATATTTATAATATGTTTGTATTTAAAGCTATATACTCGTATATATATGTGTAGTGTATCAACTATCTGGTATACATAACACAAGCCACATAGCTTACCATGGAACTAGATGGTACTGTGTGTTAATGTCCCTACATATTATATTATATGTATTATGTTAGTTTTGGATTGTGTAGCATTCCAATGGTATAAGAATTATTAAAATCGTTTCAATAGTTACAGAGTTTATCGATTACAAAAAAAGTTTCCTTTAAATAAAATTTGTATAACTATAGAAACCTTAACAAGATTTAAAGGCTTTAGTTCTACATTACACATGCTACAGCGGGTTTTGTTGTTTTACCCTACTTTCACACACATCCAATAAAAATCGGATGTGGCATTTTACAAGGATATACTCGTAGTTATTAAGCTGGCTATAGAGTTACTTATTAACAACCCTCACTTCGATAGGGTTCGTCGATAGGTAGTTTTAAATAGATATAAATAGCTACTAGCCAGCGTTAGCCATATACATTTTTATTTGTTTTTTCGTGATTTTTTGTGTGTTGTAATAGTTATTCTGCTATTCGGGGCGAAAACAAATCCAACAAATCAAAGTCATAAAAATCGGTGTAGCCGTGTATTTATTCATTAAATACGAGTAATAATAAAACGTATCCTATAATAGTTTTCAAACGTTTAATTAATTTAGTTAATCAAAATTAATAACTACATTCAAATTACTATCGAAATTTAATAGATTGAATGAATGAATTAAATTCATTTGTTTATGTTAATTAAATTCTATGGATTAATAGTAAATGAACTAAACCAATATTTATCTGCGCATATATAATGGTAATTAAGTAGTGAAGAGTACTCTAAAAGTGCAAAGCAATGATCATTCAAATATATAATAGAACTTAAAAACTATTAGTTTTTTTTTAATATTATTTAAAAAAAAGGCTGTATGTATTAAAATATCGTAAAATTTGATTTTTTCTTTTAATTCTAATTGTTTTTATTATTATAGAAATACAGAACATAATTAAATATATATATATATATATATATATATATATATATATATATATATATATATATATATATATATATATATAACATTATATGTAAAGTTACAATTGTGACGTTTTAAAGTTGTAAAATATATAAATAGTGTCGTTACACGTCGTTAAAAGTTTATAAAGAAACACGAAAATGTCATCATAAAACACATTATGTTACATAATTTTAATTTATTATTTAGCTTTAGCGGTTTAAAGAAACTTTGAAATTTTAATTTTAAACAGGGTGCTCCAGTGAAAGGGGGTGGTGGGGTAGTAGTAGCCAACCAAAGCTTGGTATTACAGCGTATCTCGAGACGTGTTGCCGGCGCTTATGTATGTGTAGCGAGGAATGCATTAGGCGAAGGCTCAAGCGAACCATTGGAATTAGATGTGAAATGTAAGTGTGTTTCAGCGGAATACTTACTTATATATATTTTTTTGTATTGTGCCACTTTAAAAGGGATTTGGTTTTATTTAAAATTTGAAACGTTTACAGTTTCTAAGCAAAATGTCCATGAAATTTTTCTTAAAAGTAATAATTTATTGGAAAAAAATCAATAATACTTTCTTAGTTTTTCGCGAATAATACTTTCTTAGATTTACGCGAATATTTTACATTTTAAATAAAACTATCTTTTTGGATTTTTTCGCGGATTTATATAGATTTTTCGTTCCCGATGTTTCGAATTCATTATAATCATGATGGGAGTCTTTTTAAAAATAAAGTTTTATTTAAAAATCTTTAAAATTATTATTTATTATTATGATCTATGTATGTATATATAAATATTACAAATAAAGGTTTAATTTTATTATAGAAGAAAAACCTCTCTACTGTAAACTCCCTTGAACGAATTAACACTAAGACGACGACACGATAGATAAACCTCCGTATATAATATATTTAAATTTAATATATATTTTAGTACTTTATCTATAACAGTAAATATATAAGGCAGTATTACTAATAGATAACCCAGCGTGTAAATCTTCACAACCCCTTGCACTTCGCGCGGCTCGAGGGGAGACGGTCGAGATTGATTGCGAATTGGATGCCAATCCACAAGTAAGTTCTAAAAAATTGTTTTTAATTCCTAACTTATATAATTTAAAACCTTACATTTTCATGGGTATATTAATAAACTTTAAAGATATGAAGGAATAATAAATGCCTCATTTTAGTGATACAATAATTTTAGTATCTAGATGTTTAGGTCAGGCCTTTAATAGCCTAACATAATCTTTCTAAATACTTTTTAAATATGGTAATTTAACCTTTAATATGAAATGTACAAACATACCTGTACATTGTATATACTTATAATTGCTTTATTATTATTTTCTATTAATGCATAATAAAAAACTGGACATTTTACAAAGCTATATATATATATATATATATATATATATATATATATATATATATATATATATTTGTATGCCATTGTTTATAATTTTTGTAAATTTTATCATATTAGTTTCATTCTAATAGGAACCTATGACGTACCAATGGTGGCTAAACAGCACTACTCATTCGAAACTCGAACTAAACTCGCAAGCGACGCACGCCCAAAGCACACTCGGTGAGATATTAAAACTTATTTAATTTCATTCAGATTTTGAGGGAGCTAGAGTGTCTTGATCCAAAGCAATAGTAAATTCAGAAAAATGGTTAAGCGAATGATGGGATTTTGTTAACAATACAGAGTTAATTTTAAAAATAGTGGCTTTTTTTTAAAAAAAAAGGCAAGACTGTATGGATATGACAGATAATAATCCATAGTAAAAATCTATACACAACATAAAGCCGACTGCTTCTAGGTGTCATGTATATTCAAAGTGATTGATAAAACCTTGTTGTTTATCGGAATACTATTAAAAATTTGAAAATTTATACATTGAAACCGCTGGATCGATTTGGATAAAATTTGATAAACACTAGGAAGATACTCTCGTTTCGCTCAGCTAATTTTTTTGCGGAACCCTAATCCTTTTTCTAAAATAAAGTGACCTAAATTACTTCTTATAACATTAGCTATTTGTCAATATAAGTTCCATGATTAGCTATTTGTCAGTAAAAATCAGTCCAGCCGTTTCGGAGATTAGCCGGAACAAACAAACAGACTGATCGCAAAACGAAATTTTTTTATTTTTTATAAGTACTACATATTATTTAATATGCATTTAGTAAAAAACTGACATTACAAACAAAACTTCATTTTAGGTTATTTGTATATAATGAAGTTTCAGACAAAATATATATTTTTAATACAATTGTAGACCCTATTAGATTTAATTTAAGAAACACGATTATTTATAACCTATATGATTGTTCAGGTAGATACCAGTACACGGTGAACAGTTCGGCAGACTACGGGTGGGTGCAGTGCGCGGGCACCAACTCGGTGGGCCGGCAGCTGGCGCCGTGCCTCTTTCATATACTACCTGCTGGTAAAAATGTATACTTTTAGTATTAATATATAAAAAACATAAATACAAATTTCTTAACAAATACCTCTGCAAAAAATGGCGTTAATATGTGACGTTAAATTAAACCAAAGAATAAAATTCAAAACTCAAACGTTCTAATTGTTTAACACAAATTTGAACTTACGCACACCACATAAAGTACTTTTTTAAACAAAAAGAACGAGCGATTTAATTTTGTCATCCAAAAAGCAATGAACAAAAGATATTTGAAAAAAGCGCAAGATTTCGAATTGTGCTCTTTTTTTGAGGACACTTTTGAGACACTAACTGTTTATTTTGAGTTTTTTTGTATATCAAAGACTTTTAGGTTTTAAATATATTTTTGGTTGGTAATTATTTTATTGAAGCCTAATTAATTATTTTTCTTTAAAGAATGGATATCTAAAAAATAGATCTATGAAATAGATTAAAATTTTCATTTTAATAAGCTTTAAATTTTCTATTGTATAGCAATTGTAGTACATCTTGTCCAATCACCATAATCTTAATTTTTTTTATTAACAACATATAAAATAGAAAGATGTTTTTGATGATTTTTTGTTTTCCTTTCAATATTGCTTTTTGTAATGTCAATTTTGACCCTAGGTGATTTTTTATTTAACTGAACTCATCTAACGTTAACTCAAGTTAATGATAGACCTTAAAGACAAACAAACAAACAAACAAAATACTGAACAATTTTTTTTATACATAAATTTAATTTGAAAAAAATAATAATTTTATTTAACAGAAAAACCATCATCAGTTAAGAACTGCGTAATAACAAACGTAACACACGAGTCTTTATGGCTCTCTTGTACGCGGGGACATGACGGCGGATTGCGACAATCTTTTCTTTTGCAGGTTTGTAAATTTTGTTTTTCTTTCTTAAATAACACTTTGATTAAATATAATGATTATTAATAATGAAATAAATACTTAATTGGACCCATTTATGCAAAAAACAGCCATGTGCGTAAAAGTACCAACAGAGTTATAAGCATTTTTCTGTGGATAGTTGCACTTGGGTTATGTTTTGTTTTTCTGGTTATTTTAAAATTGAACAATATTTATATAAGTATTGTTTATTTTTTATAATTATTTTATTTTTTATAATAAAATGCTTATAACTCAGTTGGTACTTTTATGCACATGGCTATTTTTTGCATAACTGGGTCCAATTTTGAAATCATATTAGGTTCTAAATAGATGCACTATAAAAGAGTTTGTTTCTTTGATTGAGTGTAAAGAGATATTTAAGAACTAATTTGGTTTACACATTTCTTTTAAATATCTTAAAAATTCATAAACACAAATAATTAATATATTATTTTGTACAGCATAATATATAGTATTAAAAAAATATTTCCAATCAGGTATTTGATATAGCAACAGGCTCACTTCTACGAAACATAAGCAACGATGAACCCCAGTTCGTAGTGTGGGGGCTGACGGGGGCAGTTGGTCTGTCCGTACGCGCGTACAATCAAAAAGGGTTTAGTGAGCCTTCCACATTATCGTCCAGCCTTTTAAAACATCCTCAGAGACAAACAGGTTTGTTGTAGTCTTTGTTAAAATGCTCTTAAAGTTTCTTTAAGTAAAAATGCATAAAAATTAATTCTTCATCGCAATAATGACATAAATATAATTTTGCACTTATTAATAGAGAGCGTTAAAAGATTACATTAGTAATATAGAACAATATGAAAATGTATAATATTTACTAGTGATATTTTTAAGCGAAATAAATCCGTAATATATTATTAGTATTCAAAAATCATCGTCATATTTAAGCCAATTTACACAAAATATAAATGATTTATACACCTAAACCTTCCTCATAAATTACTCTGTCCATTGGTCAAAACCGTATAAAAATCTGTTTTTAGTTTCCGGTAGTTTTTGAGCTTATCGCGATCACACAGATAAACAGACATACAGATGTTGTAATAATAAAAAATATTTTTATATCAAAAGGTCTGCAGTTAAATCGTCATTCACCCATATATGTACTTATCGGACGAAAATTATTTTATATTTATGATGGCTGGGTTTCTTAGTGAAAAGTAAACAGATTACCGAAGAACAACTTTACTTCGGAACTTAGTCTATTAATGTTAAATTAGTATTGACCTTATGCTTGTTATACTTGTATACATAATATATATATATATATATATATATATATATATATATATATATATATATATAAACTGCATATATATATATATATATATATATATATAACTTGAAAAATATAGGATTGAAATTGTCCAGTTTTACTTCTGTTTGTCTGTTACTTTCACGCCTCAACCTCAACAGATTTGGATGATATATCCTAAAGGGATAAATTGCATATTTGGGAAGGATACATGTATTTTATCCCCGTCCCAATAATCAAGCGACTTCAACAAGTATCTAATATATCTAAGCCTAAAAAATCTAAACTTTATTTAATATTTTAGCAAATGTACCAGTAAAAGTTGAATTAACAACGGTGCTAGTGACGGTACTTTGCGCTGTGGCGATCATAGCGACCATCACTACCGTATCTGCTTTTATCTTGTGCTGGAAATACTGTCATAAGAGAGATGGTAATTATTTAACTTTTTAATATTATTATATAGAATGAACAATTTTTGTACGTTTATATATTAGGTTTTGTTTTTTATGTTAATCTATATAGGTGTATTTTCTAAGAAAACGTAACATTTCCGTAAAAACACAATTTCGAACGAAGCTCTTAGGTAAGCTTATCTTAGCTACTTAGAGTAAAATGTGATGTAGTTTCCCAAAGTGGTTTGGGCCTTAGTTACTATAGATTCGATTGTTTGTACCGTACACTTCAAAAGTAGCACGTTAAGAAAAAACTAGCACGCCTAGAAGCCAAATAACAATGAATTGAATTGAATTGAAGATGAGTATATAACAAAATAATTATTATCCTATTATAAGAGAGAGAAAGCGATAAAAATAAATTAATAAGAACATAAATGTATCTAGTTATAAATGTATATAGTTCTATGTTATTATATCTGATATTATTGTAAAAAAATCTTTTATTCTAGAAAAAACTGATAAATCTAAACGAATGCAAGACGAAATATCAAATACTCCATTAACTGGAGCAAAGGAATGCGAAAGCGTTGATAGTTTAGGTAAGTACCTTTTAAGTTATTCATAGCAACTTAAACTTGACGTAAAGCTAAATTAGTTATAATATTAAGTAATGAAATTTATAACATATTTAAATGATTCATTTCATATTAATATATTGTCGCCGGAGTGCTTATATCAACTGCCTCGGTGGTGTAGTGGCTAGCATGTACGGCTGCACACTCGGAGGTCCTGGGTTCGAGTCCCGGGTCGGGCCAAGTTTAGTTATTGAGTCTTTCTGTATAGTAAGTCTCAGTAACAGCCCGGAGTCGGGAAGTTGGCGGTGTTTCACCCCCGTGCCTCGGAGAGCACGTAAAGCCGACGGTCCTGCGCCTTAATTCTCACTGGTCGTGTCGAGCAGTCGTCCCACCAGAGTATGAGAGTGACAGGAATAGACAGTGCACGTTGTGTCTGCGCGTACACTTGAGCACTATAATATCTCCTGCGCAGTTGGCTAGTCTCAATGAGATTGGCCGCCGTGGCCGGAATCGGCCAGGAGAACATCATCATTATGTATATCAAACGACAAATACTTTACAGTACTTTACAGTAGAGAGATTTTTCCTTTATTTGAAAAACAAATCCTTATTTCTTAAATTTTTATACACATATAGACAAAATACAGCTTTTTAAAATAAAATGTCTATACTATCCGAATAAATTTGACATTTAAAAGTCAATATATCTGTTTTAAAAAGTCTTCCGGTAAATTGGTCGTTTGGAAAAAAAAAGGATTGAGACGACGATACATTATTACTTATTCCACTTATATTTTGAATTGATAAATGCTTTTCAAAAATCTGAACAATTAAATCCATCTTAATTTTTTTCTGTAACATCTAAAAATTACAAAGCAACTAAATCTATTGCTATTACATTATTTTTATGACGTGCAACTTAAAATTTACAAAGATTGGCTTACTTAGATTTTGATCATCACTAATATATTAAAAATGGAATATCGGTTAAACATTTCGTTACACATCATAAAAATAACAGCAGTTCAGACCATAAAAGCTTAAAGACTTACGCTATTGCAGATAAAAACCCCGATATAATACCAATAGAAGGTAAAATAAGCGATACCTGTTCAAACAAATCTTCAGCAACAGACTATAGCTCAATACGCCCTTTACTTACAAAAGATTCTGATAAATTTGACACTAAATATGATCGCCATTACGATGTAAATGATCCATGTAACATACAAATACGACCGATGTACCAACACTTACAAATGCACATGGGGCCTATGGGATTGGGCAATTTGGGGATGCCAAGTATAGGTCCAAATGAATGTAGGCCATATGACAAAGTGTATGAAAATTGGTTGAAGTATAAAAATTCGTTGCCGCTAAATACCAGCGGTTTGGTAAGTTTTTTTTTATATTAATATTATTAGTATTATTTTAAGATTATTATAATATTCAAAATTTTGTTTGTGTATGTGAAATATAGGTTAAAAACTATGTAATGTATGAAATCATATAGCGATTGACGTTCTGCTCGTTTGTGCTCAACCTATCAATCTTGCAACCAAACAGATAGACTTGAAAAAAAAGTACGAAGTTGAGTTTATCTGAAATATTTGTACTCATATAATGACATGTTAACTGAAGCAATTTCAATTATTTATGCATTTTTTGATAAGAAATTTCTAGTTTATTTTGAATTTAAAGGAAAATAATATATGTATTGTTCCATGCAAATACAATATGTAAACGAAATCTCGTATACTGATTAATCACGAAATCTTAAAAGCTATGAATTTTGAAATACTAACTTAAAAATTGGCAGTAGATTTCTCATAGGTCAATCATAAATTGATTTCTTACGTGAAAAGATAGTATGTTTATATAGATTCAATCCCCAAAGGACTGAAAAAGGCTTCAGAGTATGAAAATCCGTTATCTTTACTACGCGGGCAAACAGTACTAGACTTATCTCCTTCTATCTAATTTCTACATACATATTATACCTAAAACAGCAAAAAATTTCAGCTACAAGAGCAAATTCCAGAAATATATCCCACTCCCTCTATATACGCTCCCAATACTCACAACCCACTCAATCTGGCCCAAATGCCGGAACTATCCTCTCCCTACATGGAGAGGGCGCGCGCACACTGTCGCGCCAACGTGGACGCGCGCGCCGGCAGTGTGCTGTACACGCGGGACGGCACACTGGGGAGGAAGACTAGTCGTGAGTATATTGTTTAAGTAGAAGTGTTTTTTACAATACTAATTACCCGATCACGCTTTGCTTGGGTCTTAGATATCCTTTATCTTTTTTAATTGGTGTATTGAATGAGGTCAAAAATAAAATAAAATTAAAAAGTCATTCTGTATAGTAAGTTTTATAAAAATCGATTTAATAGTTGACGCATAATTGAGTAACAAACATCCTACAACTTCAAACATCGTCACAACTCTTCATAATTATTTTATTAAAAGGTTTTAAATTTAAAAACACAAAATTAATAACAATGTTTTGTCTATTCGTTAACTATATTTATTATTTCACAGTAAATTCATCTCAAGAAGTAAAACCGACTTCAATGAAATCGGCTGAAACCAACACAATACAAGTAACGAGCGACACTGAGTGCAGGTGAGAAATCACTGAAGATTGTCTAGAAACTAAAATGTAGTGTGAAAGTACTAAAAACTATTACTTAAACTAACAAGTGTTACTGAAAGTGAACATAGAAAAATATTTAATCCGAAAAGTGCAAGTAAAAGTGGAAGTGATTGAAACAAAGTGTTGTATAAATATCGAAATTTTATAATTTCTTCGGGAATATTAAATTAAGGAATTAAAAATATATTGAAGTTAAAAGAAGTTTCAAACTTCAAATAATGAATTTGAATTGCATTTTATATATTGAAAATGAAAGCTCTTATAGGTATTATTAAGAAGTGTTCAGCTGACTGAAGTCTTCGGTTAAAACTACATCCAAATACCATAGTACTTACAGTGATAATATTTTCTTCGAATGTTATAAAACAATTCTAATCAGAATTTTTTCAACATTTTATACATATTTGTATTGCGTGAACTGTGGTCACACTGCACGTTTTTTGCAGTGTTCAATTTTAAACGTGAAACGTGAATAGAAACAGTGCGATGTACTCACGATGCATTTTCTTTCAGTCGTGTAAATGTCGAACAATTGTAGCTTTCATACAGCAATAAACTTGAATAGAACTCGAGAGTTTTTCATTGACTTGAGAAGTCAGCTCAGTATTCCTTAAACGTATTTAGCACTGAACGTTTTTTACCGAACAAAAAACGTGTAAACATTTCTCTACAGTGTACACTCCTTATTCTGTAAAACGAACATTGCAAAAAAAAACATGAATTATAATGCCGTGTGAAGTTGAACCCAGTTTCACTAATATTTGACAGTCGGATGGATCGATTGACATAGTAGGCGAGTCAAGTCACGTTAAGCAACGTTGCCATTGGAGCATATTGGATGGGTAACCGATTTGCTATATAAAATAGCACATTTTCATTCACTATATAAAATCTTTACCTTTAAATCGGTCCATGATAAAACAATTTAATAAATATAATTATAATTAAAAATTGTTTAAACACAGTTTGTCAATTGTGGTGGACAATCTGAGCCGTAACTTCATAAAGTCTGAAGACTGATATTTTTAATAGTTAACCGATTTTCAAATTATTAAAAAATTACAAAGATTTAATTATTAAATGTAAATATTTAATGTACAGGTAAAAGATAGAAATGTTGCCATATTAGGTAAGATATTTGTTTTTCATTAAGATCGAGCTTCTATTGTATGTGGGAAGCCTAAATTGTATAGTAATCGTTTTTGATTGTTTACTTAATATTTATAGTCTAAGAGACGACTGCTTACATATCTACGGAAGTTGTACCTAATACATACTGGAAGTCATTCATAAAATATTACGTAACGTGTTTAAATATGAATAAGAATTGTGGATGAAGAGTAAGGTTTTTAAGGAACGTGATTTTCACAGTGTGTGCGTAAATTGTTGATTTATATATTAATACAATGTGTATTACCGAAGTAATAAATATTTAGGTACATCATAAATCCTTTTTTTATTTTTTTATAAATTTAAATATTAAAGAAAAAGTGACACAATGCAGTGAAAGGGAAGTGAGAGATGAAAAGAGTAAAATTTTGTATGATATATTTTATGAATAGCCCGTATGAAATACGTTCATATTTTTTGTTATAAAAGATATTATATAAGTTGTGGCAAAATATCCTGCAGACATAACATGTTATATCATATATTTCGGGTTCGATTCTCGAATAGAGCTAATTGACTTGAATTGTTTGGGAGAAAGTCGGGTATTTAGAAAATGTTAGATAGATATTAATAAAATATTAATACTTAAATTTTACTTTTTAATTTGTCAAAGTGTTAAGGTAAAAAAGTATAAGTATAACTTACACGAAGTTACATAATTAACTAGCAGTCGTCTCTTGGTACATCATTTTATGTAAAGAGTGGTATACTGAGAAAGAATATAGAGTTTTCAACAATCATTTTCAAGAGGTTTTAATTGAATATAACTCGTGTTTAATTTTTGAAGGACTAAGTCTGGTTTAAGAATAATTTCAATAATAACTTCATAAGAAAAACAGTATACGAACGTTGAATTTTAACAGTACTTATTTACTACACATACTAATATTTTCGTATAAAATATATGGGACCATCATTTAAATACAATTAATTCACATAAAGATAATTATGAAAAAAATTAAGAACCAACCAATCACTTACAGTTCCACTGCTGATAAAGTTCCAAATAGTAGCTATGAGAGTTCATCTAACTAGAAATTAGTTCTTGTCTAACTCTAAATTTGAATGCGAGATTGTAAATTAAAAAAAAAACACTCAAAATAAAATAAAACCCCATAAAAAGGCACCAATAAAAGTCGGTAGTGTTCGCAGACTTAATAATGAAAAAAAGAAAAAAATACATATACAAATAACACGAATCTATCTGTAAACGAATCGAGTACTTCCTCTTTCAAACAATACCTTCTTGAATTAACAATTTCATTTAAAACCTTTACCTTTGAAAAAATATAATACTGTTAAAATCTTCAAAGTTTTTGCCCTTACACAAAGTTAGGTATAATTTTTCAGAAATCTTTCTCAACCAACCACTCTAAAATGTAAATTACAATCTAACCAATTAATTTTAACTTATATTATAATTTTTAAAAATAACAAAAAATCATTTCTCTTTTAACTATAGCTTTAAGTTCAATTTGGCCTTTCTTACGTTCTTATAAGAATTTCTTTAAAAGAAATAAAATATATTTATATCTGTAACAGCAGTTTTATTTACATTCCTTTTTTAATAAAAATATAATGCAAAAAATCTTCAAGTTTGCCAAAGTAACTTTTTTTTGATAAAGCTGGAAGACCCATCATGGGGACCATGAACTACTACCATCAACAACATAACAACATGTCTGCCGTGAACGGGTAGAGTACTGTGAGACTCCCACTCACTAAAACTCACAGCGAAACTCTTCGTCGCAGTGCAATAGGGTGTTGTAGATACTGATATTAATTATTTAACTTAACTATACTTAGTGTACTTAGTATATTCAGCAACTTTTATAAAAAAATAATATTTAATGGGAGCTATATTTGAACAAACCCATATAGAAGTAGCCTTCTTTATCAATAAGTTACAAACAAACTTATTTTATTTTTATTTTATTATATTCAACCTTAACATTAAATAAATAAAAATCTCATTTCAATACCAAAATTCCCTAGATACTTGAAAGCCACTACAAAATCGAAGAATTTAAATATTTACTACATTCTGTCGTTTGAAACGTGAAATGATGTTAAGAAAGGTGTAAAATTCGCAAATGCTTCTACGATTTTGGTATACGATATTGAATTATATATAACGTAAAAGCTTTGCATATAAATTATTCAGCCTATAAGAACATATTGCTTTCAAAGATTATATGGATTTGTATGCCATAAATATAACATTTTCAAGTCTCTTATATTATTTATTTATATACGTTTTTCAATAGAGAAAATACACATGGAATGAGCTTTCAGAGCTTTTAAGAACAAAACTTATAATAAATGCTTAAAGTGTAGTTTATTAAATCATAATATAACTTAGAAGAGTCAATTTAATTATTTAAACTAATCATTGGCATTCATTGAGTCGTAAGACATTCAACTTTAAGTAATGATGGAGATGAAGACGAGAAGAAGTGGAGATGCTTTTTTTCTTCTTTAGTAGGAGAACCTCCCATTTATTTTGGAGTATATCTATATCTAAATTGTTTATTTACATTCATTATTGAGGGATCCTGGTTTCCAATCCTGGTTTGGAATTAAATAATTTCTAGGTTTTCTGTATGCAAAACTCAGCCCGGAGTTGGAAAGTTTGCGGTATTGACATCACATGCCTTTGAGAGTACATTAAGCTGTCAATCTTGCGTTATCTTAGTCGTGTCAATCAATCAAATCGTCATCTCACCGCGATATAAAAGTTAAAGGAATAGAAAGTGCACTATGATAGATGTTACGCAGTTGCGTAGGTTCAGTGAGATTGAACACACTTATCAATTATTTCAGTTAGATGGGCAATATTTTGCTTATTTGTTTGTCTCTTAAAGGAAGCAGTCAAATAATAATGATCAAACTTTAGTTGAAACACCTAAACCTAAAAGTCTGGAGAAAAAAAATATTAAATAATGTATTATATATTAAACTTAGAAATCTCTAGAACCTAAACGCTAAGAGAGTATAGCAGTATAGAAAATTTAATCATAAAAGTGGACTGTTATTGTGTTATGCCACAAACTCGTAATGTAGGACATTCTTTATGTTTTCTCAAAACAATGTTAATCGACTAGAATTTTAAACCTAAAGGGCTTTTAAATTATTATTGTATTCTCAAATCTCAGTAAAAGTGTATTTTTTTTTTAGATTTACGCGAATATTTGAAATTTTAAATGAAACCAATTTTTTGAATTTTTTCGTGAAAATCTGAAAATTATATTTATTAAAACTAGCAGCTCACGCTCGCTTCGCTCGGATTCGTCTCAAAAACTAAAACAACTCTATCCCTCGGGAACCGTATATTTTTCCGAGATAAATAGTAGCCTATGTGTTCCAGACTATAATCTATCACTGTGCCAAATTTCATCCAAATCCGTTCAGCCGATCTGGCGTGAAAGAATAACAAACATCCATACATACTCACAAACTTTCACATTTATAACATATATTTATACTGATGTAGAAGTAATGTATATTTATTCTTGATGCTTGAAAATAAAAGTATAAATCCAAAGAAATGTAATAATAAATATGGGGTTAAAAACCTTTACTTCCCTTCACATTAATAAAGATCATTGCTAATTCCTACATTTGTAAACAAAGCTCCTAATAAGATAAGACTTATTTAATTTGTACAACATTATTTCGGAATATTCTCGAGCTTATTTATTTTGAAGGTCGAGTTGATTGCCCTTTATTTTAACGTAAAAATCTTTCAAAAAGTATTTATTAGCCGTGTTTTTTATATTATTATTTTAACAAAATAAACAA